GTGTGTGTGTGTGTATGTAGGTGTCACGGCGCAAAAAGAAGAAGGAAAGAGAAGGCTCGAGAAGAGAGGAGAGAGTGTGTACGTGTGTGTGTGTGTGTCCTCCTGATTGGGCAGAAAAAAGAAAATGTTAAGCCCTAATTGGGCTACCGTAAGAGAGGGAGAGAGAGGACTAATTTTGATTGGTCCAGATGAGATAATAACCCAAATACCTAATTGGGTCCAAGGAAATAGGAATTATGGTGATTGGTTTCTTATTTTGGTTTGTTTACACTCTATATGTTCGTAACTTCCTTGTTACAACTCCGATTCGGCCCTAACTCGCGTCAACACGCTCATGACGTCGAGTACAATCTAATTACAATAGCAAGGAAATTAATTTAGAACTGCATATGTACATCCATGTCCCTAAGCCAACAAGGGCAATATTGTCACTTTACACACTAGGGGAGAAAATATATATAATAATTTGGGACGAGTCTTCACATTTTGCCCCCAAATGTTTTGTAGGGAAATTTTATTTGAACACATATAACCTCTTTCTACACCCAACTTAAATTTTAAATGTGAAGTGACTTTTTTATCCTATTGCATAATTACCATAAAGTACAAGATAAAATTAACAATAAAACTATAATGTAACAATAAACCCACTCCAAATAATCAAACCATTACTATCACGCAATCTTTCTTTTGCGTTATATTCTTGCTGAAATCCTAAGATGCTCTCATAGAGAATAAGCTCTTTTTGACAAATGGATATTGATTTTGAAATTTTCGATCCTCCAACTAAGATATGAATGATTTATGAGTTTTTATTTTATGAACTCAAAGAAAATATTCGAGGTGTCATCGTTGGCGCATCTCAGGATATGATGTTCCTGCAGCTATGTGTTGACCCTAAAAACTACCAAGTCTACGTGGCACGCATGCCGAGTAATTAATAAGCTAACTACGTCATTCGGTTATGTGCGGGGCGTGCCAACTCGAGGGCCAAGCTCGATCGGGGAGTAAAATTTGTTAGCGTTGCGTTGAGCGTGCTGCTGACTTCTTGATCTTGTGACCGCGGCCGAGGAAGGAACACGTCTCAGCCTTCGGGTTCTAGAGCCTGAATATAAGGCTGCTAGTCTTGCGAAGTTCACGGATCGTCGACGTCGGGTTCAGTCACGGTGGTTATATTCGTAAAAGTATAAGCACGCCGAACTGGCTCCAAACTATACGGACACAAGTACTCAAAAGAGATATATGTCTTGATGGTGAATGTGGTTCGGCCGTCAGAATGCCGAACTCTAAAACTTACTTGTGAATATCCAATCATAAAACAATTCGGTGTTCAATGCGCCGAGCCCAGTAATCTGTAACATCTCACTTCACGAAGAAGGCTAATGAGATGACATCTGCCAATAATGATTCGAAAATCTTTCTTGGCCGAGACTTGGATAAATAATCAGTCGGCCTCGACGCAGTGCTGTTTATCCAAACTGAAGGTGCTCCGCGGTCGGCTAATTCTACGACAACAGTGTTGTTTATCCAAACTGAAGGTGTTCGCCGGTTGCCTTCACAGTGTTGTTTATCCAAACTGAAGATGTGTCGGCGAAAAAGAAAATAAAAATCTCAAGGTTGTTGAGAGGTTTCGCATAGAGCGAGAGTTTGCGCAGAAGTTTGTGTGTTGGGTTGAAGGGGGCTGAAATGTTGCAGGTGTCCTGCATTTATAGGGACAAGTACACGATTAATAATTTTGTGGACTCCAATTGCAACTCTGCCACCTCTTTCCCGTGCTAATACGTGATATCACCGCCACACTTTAACTCTTGATAAGCCAACCCCTGCTAATAATTATAACAACCTAAATTGGTGCTAGTCAAGTAGCATATGTAAACCACGTGCAACAGAACTCTCGTTAATTTCAAATCCTCCATATTGCTTGGTGGCCAAATCCTTCACGTGTATGTAAATCATGTGTGTCGTAAGCACTTGCAATTTAATTGCAATGCTAACTCTTACAAGCCTTATCACGTCCCATTAATCACCTAAAGGATAACTGGCATACATAATTGTTGCCATCTTATCACCACCATGTGTAAAATTATTTCCCAAGCATATCACCATTTTTACTTCACCCTTATCATATGCATGCATATTTGTCATCCAAAACTGATCCAACCACACATCCACATCAGTTTGAATTGTGCTGCCTGTTTTCAGCTTGGAGATATATTTTTTCGTAAGAAAATGTCAAGATAAATCATTATTAAAAGATAATTATGATAGAAACCATGATGTTATCTTTTAATGTTAATAAAATTATCTTCACTTTTCCATTCGATGGTTGGGAACTATGCCCATTCAACGGCCTTCATTGCACGGACTGGTGATGTAATTTTGGGTCCAAACACTATGTAAGTCTTAAGCACATGGACTCACATTCCTCAAACAATTCTTTCAATCCCTTAAATATGGTAGCTTACAAAGGGCCTGAAGCATTACAAGATAGCTTATATTGTATGTAGTAGGGAAAGATTACTTGAACATTTTCCACACCCTTTGACCTCACCTAGATTAGAAGTGCAGGCATGAATGCTAATAAAAAAAATGGTACGGTTCGCGTTGCTTTTGGGTTTCATCATTTCTTCCGACTTTTTGAGGGCTTTGCTCTGTCTTGTCAAAAAGCTTCGCGTTTACATAGATGGAAACCGGGTTACTATATGTTGTCCAACAGCATTTTCTACGTCTTATGTTTCCATTTCCTCCAAAAATCTTTTTACTCCTTTAAAATCATTTAAGGCCATGTAGCTCTGCATCCATATAATATAAGTAAACATGCCAAATATGAAAGAGAATGAGAGAACTTAAACTAACGAGTACACGCCCCCTTCAAATGGTACTGCACTCTCAGTACCTAACAGATAAAAGATGTTTGGTCTCTTACACAAATTGACGACACCTACTTAAACTAATGAGTACACGCCCCCTTCAAATGGTATTGAATGAGTACACGCCCCCTTCAAATGGTACTGCACTCTCAGTAGCTAACAGAGAAGAGATGTTTGGTCTCTTACACAAATTGACAACACCTAGTACAAATGAACAAGAAGTTTCTCAAATTCTCACCAGTTCTTTTGATTTTGATTTATATTTCTATTAAATCATGAAGAATTTGAAAGGAAATACGACAAACTTGATGGAAGGAGAGAACGTCAAAGAAGAAAATGTATTCTTTGACTTTGATTTTTATCTTTTAAAAATGGGTGTAAAGATAAATTTACATATATATTGAATTGAGTTTGTGAGGTAATTTAGATAGTAAATTTGAGTTTAAAAAGATATTGATAGTTTAGCTAAAAATAATATTGATGTAAGGAGTAAGCTAGTGTAAAAAGAGCTAGCTTTAAATAAAATTTCCTTTTTTTGTATCCCCGCTTGAAAACAAAAGGAAAACTAATGAAAATGGCTTGAAAACTTTGAGTTTTAATGATAAGGAAAAAATAAAAGGTAAAGTGAATAGTACCAGGATTTACTTTTTAATGTAAAAATGTGATTTTCGTTAAAGTGAACAGTATTAGTTACTTTTCGTTTCCCTTGAACAAAACCCTTAAGCCCTTGAAGCCGCTCCGCTTCACTTCACACCACCATCACTTTTCAGCCATGGCGGAGCTCAAGCTCTCAGAGAGTCGAGACCTGACCCGAATAGAGCGCATAGGCGCACACTCCCACATCCGTGGTCTCGGCCTTGACTCTGCTCTAGAAGCACGCGACGTCTCCGAGGGCATGGTGGGCCAGACTTCCGCCCGAAAGGCCGCTGGCGTCATTCTCCAGATGATCAAGGAAGGAAAAATCGCGGGTCGGGCCGTTCTTCTGGCGGGTCAGCCCGGAACCGGCAAGACCGCCATCGCCATGGGCATGGCGAAGTCGCTCGGCCTCGAATCCCCGTTCGCGATGATGGCCGGAAGCGAGCTCTTTTCTCTGGAGATGTCGAAGACCGAAGCCCTAATGCAAGCTTTTAGGAAAGCTATTGGGGTTAGAATCAAGGAAGAGACTGAGATTATCGAAGGCGAGGTCGTGGAGGTTCAAATTGACCGGCCTGCGGTGGCCGGAGCGGCTTCGAAGACCGGGAAATTGACGTTGAAGACGACGGAGATGGAGACCGTGTATGACTTGGGGGCGAAGATGATTGAGGCTTTGGGGAAGGAGAAGGTGCAGAGTGGCGATGTGATTGCCATTGATAAAGCTTCTGGGAAAATTACCAAGCTTGGTAGGTCGTTTTCAAGGTCAAGGGACTACGATGCCATGGGACCGCAGGTCAAGTTTATGCAGTGCCCGGACGGGGAGTTGCAGAAGCGCAAGGAGGTCGTGCACTGCGTCACACTTCATGAGATTGATGTCATCAACAGCAGGTACTTACAAATGTCGGCTTGTGTTTTTCGTTGTCTTAATTTCGAGAGCATGTTGCTGTGAATTATAAGTTCATGAGTTTCTGCATTCATATAATCTTGGGAAAGTTGCAGTTTTGGGGGGTTAATGGAAATTTGCAATTAGCTTGCTAAGTTGTTACACATTAGTGAATGATAAATGCGTTCCTTTCTTAGAAGTTACTTTTTTACAAAGAAGCTCGACCCCTTTTTTTGGGTCCTTCATTACCCCAAGAACTAGCTAATGCTACCTTTTACTCCCTGTCAGTCTGCAGTTGAGGATGGTGATCTATGGATGCATTATATGATGTAGTTATCAGTGTTGTAAAGCACTAAGAATCAGTTTGTGTCCGAGTTGGATGTTTCGTAGCTCAGCTGTGGTTTATTTGGACTTTAATTGAGTAGTAGGTTTGACTCATTTGGAAGTTAGAAAGCAGGAGCTCCTCTCCTCTCCAATTTTCAACTATTTATGTGCATCAAGTACAGAAAATAGTTTCCTGTTTTTGAAAAAGTATATGCAAGTTGTATAAAGCTACATGTACCAAGAGAAGGGTTTGAAAACAACTTAGTACCCTTAATCTTGAATTGCCAAAGTGACTATAGCCAAATCAAATAGTTGAGAAGCTTACTGGCCGCCTGTTGTGATTTTTCTCTTTGAGGAGCTTCGCACATTTCTTTAATTTTTTTTTTAATGAACCATGTGAGGAGGGGATAAGAGGGGAATTGGCATAGGATTTAGCCTTTCAAGAGGCCCTTCTCTAACATCAACATTTTCATTGGGCCACTTTCCAGGCAAACTTGCTTTGAATACCCAGCTGCTTGTGTCCATTGGTGCCTACATTTCTTGGATGGGTTTATTTGTTACAACACCCCCAGGAAAACCTTTATTCAGTCACCTTCTGACCCAACTCGGAAAGTTTTAACCTTAAGAAACTTAAAGGAAGCTCCATCAAAATCTGTATTTTTTGAAGCTTGAACCCAAACTAGCTGCCAGGTTTGGGTGAATTAGTGAACTTTTTCTGTTACTATAAAGGGGTTCCAGTTTTTATATCATTACTCTCAGTACATTTTTTTTGTCACCTATTATTACAGGTTAGATCTGAATATAACAGAACTCCATATCCATCTTGCACCCTAGAATTTGCATGAGAGAAATGTTTAAATGTTACATGCTTAGGTGTTATAGAATGCTATCTAACTAGTAGTTTTTCTGGTTTCTAAGGTTTGATGTAATATGTGTGGAGTAGAATGGCTTCTCTCATAGACACAATGGCGTTCTAAGATTCATATAGCCGATCCCACTCAGTGACTTGGATTTTCCAAGTCTCCAACCGAGAAGTTTTCCTCACTCGGGAAATTAAGGGAACACTACCTCAACCTACATGCTCCACTCACAAAGCTTCAACATACAAGCTTCAACAAAAGAAAATTCAAAGAACTTAGCGAAGAAGGCTTTGGTGTATTTAACACAATACGTTGAAATGAAGGAAAGCTGATTTATTGATATCCCCGATCAGTTACAAATATGTACATATACTTGAGTCAAAATAAACAAACAAGAGGGAGCCTTCACAAAGGTTGCTTAGAAGAAGTCTCAGCAGTCGGTAGAGCCCCAGAAAGAGAAGGCACCGGAGGGGGATCATTCGGAGCCTCAGTACTGGACAGAACCCTAGAAGGAGGAGGCATCAGAGGTTGATCATTTGGAGCTTCATTACGCGGTTCAGCCCCAGAAGACGAAGGCAATAAATGCCTTTGGAACAAACCCACAAATCTCTGATGATCAAGTAAACCTGACCTGACCTGACCATCAGATTCCTTCATCTGGTCAAGCTTCCTCTTCATGTTTGTAGCATAGTCATGTGCGAGCCGGTGCAACTGTTTATTCTCATGCTTGAGCCCTTTAATCTCCTGTTTGAGACTCATCACTTCAGCCGCCAATGATTCAACTTGGCGGGTTCGAGCAAATAGGCGTTGGGCCATATTAGACACAGAACCTGCACACTGAACACTCAGAGCCAGAGAATCCTTAACAGCCAACTCATCAGACCGTTTGGAAAGTAGTCTGTTATCTTTGGGAGTGAGAAGGTTCCTGGCCACTACCGCAGCGGTCATATCATTCTTCATCACGGAATCCCCAACGGTAAGAGGACCAGTAGGGGAGACGAAGGATGGGCGCCATATGTTGTCTGGAGAAGGCAGGGCTACCTCTTCAACAAGGTTCAAGCCAAAACGACGGTCGGAGGGGCCAGACATTTTCAAAGGTGTTGAAGAGAGAAGAGGTCGGACAAATCAAGATCTTAGAAGTGCAAGAATGGAGCTTCTACTGGTGGATATTCAAGTGTGCTTTGGAACTTAATGTCAGCCCCTATAAAAATCTGCACTCGACGAAGCTTCAGAAATCGAAGAGGCGCCTGCTCAGAAATCGAAGAGGCGTTTGCTTTCTCAAAAGCTGGCTGCTGCTCAGAGACCACGAGGGTCGATCTCAGAAATCGAAGAGGCGTTGGCTTTCTCAAAAGCTGGGCTGCTCAAAGACCACGAAGGCCGATCTCAGAAATCGAAGAGGCTTGCTTTCTCAAAAGCTGGGCTGCTCAGAGACCACGAGGGCCGATCTCAGAAATCGAAGAGGCACCTACTTTTCCAGCCTCGTCAGCACCTGTCACACACGCACACTCAGCTTTGCGGAAATTATGGGCATTCTGTCGAAGATTTCTGGCGAAGTAGAAAGCACATGAATCGTACTGTTCAATCACCCACTTCCCACACGCAACAGTAGCTCATGGGTACCACAGATAACTTTGTCAAAGTTCTCTGACAAAGTTGAGACACGTGAAGCTTGCAGCTCCCACTACATCGCTCTGACCAAGAAAGGTAAAAGAATAGCAAAGAAACAACACTACCAAAGTTTAGACACATAAATTTTGAAGGTTTAGCTACCATATTATTACCCACAAGGGTAAAGGAACAGTACCACTGCTGGATAATTGGAAAGTCCCGGTGTGTCAACCTCTGTGCTTCGTGGCAAGGTAGGTAGACTAGCAAACATGCCCAACCTTTACTCACATTCGAGAAAACACTCCCAACAAGATTGCTTGCTCCAAAATCGAAGAGGCACCGCCCTCCGAATCTCGAGAGCCAGACTCTCAACATGATTATTTTCTCAAAAATCGAAGAGAGGGTAAAGGAACAGTACCACTGCTGGATAATTGGAAAGTCCCGGTGTGTCAACCTCTGTGCTTCGTGGCAAGGTAGACTAGCAAACATGCCCAACCTTTACTCACATTCGAGAAAACACTCCTAACAAGATTGCTTGCTCCAAAATCGAAGAGGCACCGCCCTCCGAATCTCGAGAGCCAGACTCTCAACATGATTACTTTCTCAAAAATCGAAGAGAGGGTAAAGGAACAGTACCACTGCTGGATAATTGGAAAGTCCCTGTGTGTCAACCTCTGTGCTTCGTGGCAAGGTAGACTAGCAAACATGCCCAACCTTTACTCACATTCGAGAAAACACTCCCAACAAGATTGCTTGCCCCAAAATCGAAGAGGCACCGTCCTCCGAATCTCGAGAGCCAGACTCTCAACATGATTACTTTCTCAAAAAATCGAAGAGACACCCGCTCTCCGAATCTCGAGAGCCAGACCCCCAGCATGATTGCTTTCTCAAAAATCGAAGAGGCATCGTTCTCCGAATCTAGAGAGCCAGATCCCCGACAGGATTGCTTGTTCAAAAACCGAAGAGGCACCACTTTCCCAACTTCAAGAGCTAGATCTCCTTGGATAAAGCTTGTCTGTAATCTTCACACGCAACATCAGCTTTCCAGATACCACAGACCACTTTTTCAAAGTGCTCTGACAGAGTTAAAACATGTGAAGCTGACAGCTCCCACTACCGTGCTATGACCAAGCAGGGTAAAGGAATAGCATTATTACTTGATGTTAGGGAGACTCCTATATATGTCGACCTCCATCCCCAACGGACAGGCAGACCTGCAAAAATGCTCAACCCTTCCTCTTATCTGAGAGGGCACTCCCAACGAAGCCTTTCGAAATTTTCAGCTTTCTTTCCCCCCGATAATACCTCTGTAAACAAGCTATACTAGAGCAAGAATATCTCATATCATCAGGGTTAAAAGCAAGAGTATCCCATATCATGCTTTTTCCCTGTCTTTTCCTTTGGCCTTGTTCTTACCTGCAAGACAAGGAGAAAGAGAGCAATCAGTCAGCACTTGGAATCAAGCTTCCAGCCAGGAACTGATTGCCTGGAATTACTTACCTGGCATTGCTCTCGAGTACTCATCTTCAACATCTTAGGCTTCCAGGGAAGATACCACATCTGCCTGAGGAACAACTAGGGCAAGTGAGAAGGATACAAGGAAGCATGTGGAGACAAGCGTAACAGCACACATGCCGATACATCCACTACTCTGTCAAAAGCAAAAGTATCCCATATCAGCAGGGTCGAACGTACTCTAGATTTGATGGACTTGTTTTGACCCTCAAATTCTTCAGTCGGCCTTATACTCTGGAGGAAACCAGAAAACCCTCCAGCCCAGTTCAAGAATAAGCCTGTGGAAAGTTACTTCTTCAAAAGTAAAAGTATCCCATATCATCTCTTCTCATTTTTCTTCTCTTTATCCTTCATGCTGCTTGCAAGATAGGGAGAATGTGAACAATCAGCCGGAGCTCTGATTGCTTACCTTGTCTGTCACCTCTTTCAGCAGATACCCTAGCTCGGCGACTTGGGGGACTCCTACTACATGGTTTGTATCGCGCTTGACCAAGCCTGAAACTACAAGTAAGCTTCAAGTGAAATTGATACATTACCTTGTGCATCTCCACCAGTTACAGATACCACCCCTGGATGGAGGAAGAGTACTTCCAGAGAAGATGCCACATCTACCTATGAGACAGATAAGGCAAGTCAAGACGATACCACACTCCGGTACTTAAGTTTCGTGGTTACGAGATCATTCTCCCACAATATTTCCTAATGTCATTTGTACTAAATCATTCACTTGTACTCACTAAAGGAGAGCTTGAACCTATGTACTTGTGTAAACCCTTCACAATTAATGAGAACTCCTCTATTCCGTGGACGTAGCCAATCTGGGTGAACCACGTACATCTTGTGTTTGCTTTCCTATCTCTATCCATTTATATACTTATCCACACTAATGACCGGAGCAATCTAGCGAAGATCACAAAAAGTGACCGTTTTCGCTACCTAGGATCTATCTTGCAAGAGAACGGAGAATTAGATGGAGATCTCAACAGAAGAATAAAAACTTGGATCTAACGGAGGACATGACACAAAACCGAGTGTAATGGCGTTCTAGGATTCATATAGCCGACCCCACTTAGTGGGAAAAGGCTTTGTTGTTGTTGTTGTTGTATAAGCTTGTGTTTGGTGATTTAATTGTGATCGTGAGAGCTGTGCCTGCTTTGTTGCTTTATGTTTCGAGTGATTTCTGTTTGGTTTCTGTATAAAAGCATACATTGCAACTTGCACCCATATAAAAAGTCTGTTCAAATTTAATAAATAAATCCTGGTTGTAAGTTGAGAAGGTTTTTTTTTTCTATGGTGATGGGGATGGGGATCGGGGGTAGTTCTCTACTTTAGACTCAGTATTGGCCATGGATTAACGTGATATTTTGTTATCCGATTAAATTATGTC